TAAAGGGTTAAGCCAATACTATTTTGTTTTTAATAGTAATTGCGTTCGTTTGTGTTGGAGTTGGGTTACATGCTATTAGGTTATAAGATTAAGAAACTTGTCATCAAACTATAAAATTGGTACCTAAGTATATGTGTGTGTACATATATATTGGGTCCTCTTGCCAAATCCTATTAGATTACCCGTCGATAACTCCTTAACAATACCAAACCCTAACAAATAATCCATCGATCGTCTAATCAGATTAACCATCGAGTCGGATACCTATAGGTATTGGATTCTGCCCTACCTATTGCTATCCCTAAATGGCATAACATGGACGAGAAAAGAATTTCTTCTAGGCAACAGACACCTAGGAGATGCCAATATGTGCACAAATATTCGACTAGTAGTTGGAAAACTAAAAGCAGATTTGGAAAACTCGGATCAATTGAGATGTAATGCTTGTTAATTTACCCTTTTTTTAGCACATTTCACTTAAATGTTTGATGGGATGCCTGGATCAACAGAGATGTTCACTCAGTTGTTTGATCTCAATGATTGCCGACAAAATTTCAGGGTCATGTACAAAATGGTTGATAAGTTCTTCATGTAATTGGTTACTACCAATTTTGCTAAGTCAGAAGTTAGTATCATAATTCTTTTAGTACAGCTGGTAATTTGTTTCTACATAATGATTAGAAAAAATTATTTAAACTATCCCTCATATTTTGTCAAATGAATTTTTCGTCCTTTATTTTTAAATATTAATTTTACGTCATTTACAAATTTATGCCAGTAAAATTTGGTTCCAACCTAGGTTTCCAACCACTTTTTGTCCTGAATCCATCGTGTGACTCACATATGATCATTTTTTAGGACAAAAAAGATTAGATACTATTTGTAGTTAAACAAATGACCTGATCCATTCTCATTGTTTCCTTTAAAAAAAAGAATTGAATCTACCCTGTACTAAATACATTTTTCTCTTAAAAAAGTAAGATCTGAACCAACTCATATTCATTTTTATGCTCCTAAAAAATGATCATAAGTGAGTAAAGTGGTGATTTTAGAATAAAAACTAGACAAAAATCAGATTTGGGAGTAAATTTTATTAACTTGAATTTATAAGAGACGTAAAATTAATATCTTAAAAGTGAAGGACGAAAAACTTCCTCAAATGATGTATGATATGTTTTGAATCGATTTTCCATAATCATTAAACGATCACTTTACGAGTTTATTTGACCTTGTGAAGGTTACACCAACTAAAACAATTATTTGTATAGTGTACTCAATTGCTTGCATATACTTTTAAAATCTTGAATTTTTGTTTACAGCGACCAAAACAATTGACCTTAACTAAGAACTTGACTATTAATAGTTTAAAATACCAACTAAGTTTCAGATGTTGTAAATCAATGAACATTTTATCAACTTTAGCTATTAAGTTCTTGTTAAGTTGATGGCTATTAAGGGCCAAAGCCAATAATTTAAGAGAGTAGAAAAATGAAAACTTTATGATGTTTTCCTTTGTTCTAGCCCCACATATTTCTCTATTTATATTTTTATGAGTAAATTACATATAACCCCCTTATGATTCATCTATTATCACATGACTCCTCTAATATTTCAAAATGTCCACTATGATTTTTGTAGAGTGAAAATTTGACAAAAAATAGGCTATGTAATATTGTTAGTTGAAACACCAATAGTGCTCTTACTTAAATACTAAATCAATTGATGACTTAACCACCTTATTTATATAAGCATATGGAGATTAAGTGAATAAATAAAAAAAAAAATCACAAGGGGATAGACGTGAAAAAATTCCTTCACTAGTGGCTTTCTAGGATTTTGCCGTTCTCGGACTCGGTTGCCATTATGGCACCCTCAGCCGCCCTTCAGCCGCCTATTGAAGGGCATCCCAAATCTTCGATTCCTTCTTTCCAATCGAAGCCATTCTCTTCACTGTTTTCGTCAACGACCACACTTCATTCAATTTGCTGATTGATAAAACGACCAGAAGGAGGGAGCCTGCAATTGTTTTTTCGCCTGTGGATTTGGGTAGGGTCACCTCTCCTTTCTAGCTTGCACTGGTCCGGTCTGGGGTAGAAACATTTGGTACGTGCTTGGCTGCCGGATGCGTGTGTTCAAATGGATGACCTCGTTTCACGTTGATAAAGAGCCGTCACTTGCCCCGGTTTGGTTTTCCCTGCCGAAACTACCGATTCATTACTTTAACAAGGCATGTCTGTTCCATATTGTGTCAATTTTGGGTCGGTCATTATTCATGGATGCGGCAACGAGTTCGCTATCTCGGCCAAGCATCACGAGGGTCTGCGTTGAAGTTGATTTGCTGAAGCCTCTCCTCAGTAGAGTTTGAGTTGGGATTTGAACGGGGGAGAAGGAGGGATTCTGGCAGGTATTGGAACCGAAGGAGCTCCCAAAGTAGTGCTCTTGCGGTTTTCGACAGGGGCACGAGGAATCTAAGTGTTGGGTTAAGAACCTGGGGTTGCGTGAGGCGGCTGTATTGCCGAGAGCGGAGGCAAAATACTAATGGGATACATGAGAATGTTGCAGCGACGTTGGAGGGTGTGGCCATAACGGTGGAAAAGAAGAATGTCGGAGCTGCTGCGGAGGAGGGTGACAGTTTGCGGTTGTCATCTAGAGAAGTAGGATGGCTGATGATGACATTGCTGCTGCTACGGTGGATGGTAACATGTTGTCGGTGCAGCTTAGGGGAGCAGGGATGCAAGCTAATGACGGTGCTGGGTAGCAGTTTCTGATGTATCCCATTAGTATTTGCCTCCGCTCTCGAGGGTAGCAGTTTCTGATAAAGCTGTAGTTGCTGGGGATAGGATGTCAGTGATGAAATTTCCTTATTTTCAGACGTTCGCAAACACTACTAGCTCGTTGAATGGTCAGGGCTTGGCTGGGGCAGTCCTCGGGAGTATAGAGGCAATAGTAGATGGGGTTGTTTTGAAGGCAGCTGAAAGCATTTTGGATGCTACGGCCGATCGGGTGTTGGAAGAGGGACCTAAGGATGTGGAAGACGTTAATGTGTTGCAACTTGAGCAACATTTGAATAATAACATGAACTTATCACCGCGCAAGGCCCCCCACGAATCCATAGAGATGCTCCGCTGGCGACTCGATGGTTTAAAAAATCCTGATGACTGGAAAATGTTTTGGAGCAAAAGGTCTCTAAAAAAGGTAACTTCGCCTTCTCAAGCTTCTCTTGTTCGTTCCTATAAATGATTAAGGCCCTTTTTTGGGATGTAAGAGGGATGCAAAAGTCGATTGCTTTGACACGATTACGTAAACTAAGGCAATTACATGGTTTTTCTTGTTTCGTTAAGTGAACCTTTAATCGATGTGTCCAATCTTGAGTTGTATAGAGGTAAGTTAAGGTTTCACAAGGCATTTGCGAATTCTGAGGGTAGAATCTGGGTGTTCTTTGATGAGAATTTTGATGTAAATCTAATAGCTCAATCGAGCAAATTTTTGGCTTTCAAGATTGTTTCTTCACAATTGGGATGTCCTTTTATTAGTGTTTTTGTACATGCTTTGTGTGGTCAATTGGTGCATCAGGAATTGTGGAGGGATATCTCAAATTTGGACACCGGGCTTCCAATGCTAGTTTGTGGTGATTTTAATGCTATTTTGTCCTCGGATGAGAAGAAGGGTGGATGGCCTTTCATGGCACACGAAGCTAGTGGTTTTCAGGAGTTTATTGATTCCCTGGACCTGTTAGATGCGGATTTTCGGGTTCTAAGTTTTCGTGGTGTAATAATAGATTTGGAACGGGTAGAGTTTGGAAACGACTTGATAGATTGTTGCTTAGCCAACTTTGGGCAGACCTCAAGCTGTCTTCATCGGTGTTACATCTGAATCCGCTAGGGTCTGATCACCCCCCGCTTTTGCTTAGATTTAAGCCGTGCCTGGAGGAGGTTCCTAGGAGCTTTGCGTTTTTAAATTTTTGGCCATCTCATCCAGATTTTTTGCAGGTAGTTCGTGATGCTTGGGATGGGGATGATACGGGGTGTCAAATGAGGGTGCTATTCCTGAAGATGAATCGGGTAAAGTAGTGTTTGAGGCAGTGGAGTAAGGAGGTTTTTGGAAGTATTTTTGATGTGGTACGAGTGGTTGAAGAATCTGTCCCGCAACAGGAATTGATTCTTGAAGAAGATCCATCTGAATTAAACCTGTCCAAATTACAGACCAGGCAGAAAACACTAATGGGCGGCTTTACATAGGGAGGCTGCTTTTTGGCATAAAAAATCTTGGATACGATGGCTCAGGAAGAGGGATGCTAACTCAAAGTTTTTTCATGCATCTTTGAAAAAGCAAAGGTTACGAATATTCATACACCAGATTAAAGATGAGCATGGGAGTTGGTTGGAGGAGTCAGAAATTCAACAAGAGGCTATTTGGTTTTTTTGGAGAGCCGTTTCTGCGGAGCAAACATAAGGGAGTGATGACGGTCCTTTGTTGCAATTGATTCCGAGGTTAATCAATCAAAAAGATAATGCTGCTTTGGTACAAGTCCTTTTGGTGGAGAAGGTCAGGGTGAGGGTGCCCCGGCCCGATGGATTCACTGGTACCTTTTCACGGCTACTTGGGAGATAGTTGGCCCATAGGTCTCTCTAGCAATTTAGGAAGAGTGAATGGCGGAAATGGTCACTTAACTATTCAAAATGGCACCCTTTAGTCGTCAAACAATTTTTTAGCCCAAAAAGGTCACTAAGCTCACATAAACGTGCTAGCGGAGTCATTTTACCGATTTTTACAGGTGAATGATCCGGTTACAAGGCTATGTAGAGTAGAGGAATATTTGTGAAGGGGTAAAAATGTCCAAAAAAAATATACAAACCTGTTTCTTCCTTTCTCCCAAGCTGTGTTGGTATGGGAAAATTGTCTTCTAGTGTGAAAAAGAATAAAGCAGAATTGTACTCTTCTCCATGCATCAAGATCACGGTTCTAGTAAAATGCAAGATTCCCTTCCACTTATTATTTAACTCTTTCCTTGCATCAAGATCATCACCATCGTCATTATCTTCTTCTTTGTCTTCTAGTGTGTTGTCAAGCTGTGATGATTCTTGTTTTTCTCTCTGAGTTGTCATTTGGACATGGAGCTTATGGGTTTGTAACTTGGCTCTTGATGGCATTATTTGCAATGGGCACCTCCCTCTTTGCCTGATTTTTTGATAGATCTGAGCCTTTTTTTTTCCATTTTTGTTTATATAATTTTAGCTTGAACAACACCGGATATTTTAGATCTGAGCCTTGCAACGGGCTCCTCCCATGTGTATATTGATTCTCACCAACACCGGATACAAGTAAAACCACCATCTATGGCTGCTGGAATTGGCGTCGCAGCCGGTTCCCAGAAAGTCTGTTTCCAGGTCAACTCATTTCTAACCCGAAAACCCACCTCCTTAGTTGCAGATAGTCTGACGTTTTCCCCTTTAGCCTAGCGATTCAGCACAACTCGGAGATGTCGAAGGAAGCCCAGGTTGAGGGTTTGTTTTGTGCTGGAGGATGAGGAATTGAAAGCCCAGTTGGTGAGAAGTGAGGAGGAAGCCCAAGAGCGCGAGAAAGTGATGGCGAAGCGAATCTCTGATGTAAGAACGGCGGAGAAACTAGCCACGAAGAGATCAGCATCTTTTTTTGCTACAACTTGCGAGGAATGAAGAAATAGGTTTGCCATATTTTTTTGGGACATTTTTATCCCTTCACAAATATTCCTCCACTCTACATAGCCATGTAACCGGATGATTCACTGGTAAAATTCGATAAAATGACTCCGCTGGCGTGCTTATGCGAGTTTAGTGACCTTTTTGGTCATAAAAAAAGTTTGATAATCAAAGGATACCATTTTAAATAGTTGAGTGACTATTTCGGCCATTCACTCATTTAGGAATTTTTGGTTGGGGCTAGTTTACCAATTGGGTTTTCCTCAACGTTGTTTGCGTTAATTCCTAAGGTGATTAATCCCGCTGGTTTTACTGATTTTTTTCTAATAAGTTTATGTAATTTTATTGCCAAAATTATTTCTAAACTACTGGCTTCCCAGCTGGCTCCTGTTTTTGGAAAAATCATCTCCCCTCAATAGAGTGCATTCATCAAGGGTCGGTTGATTTCAGATAATATTTTGCTGGCACAGGAGATGTTTTCATCAATCTCCAAAAAAGTTCAAGATGGTAATGTGGCCCTAAAGCTTGACATGGCAAAAGCTTATGACCAGGTGTCTTGCATGTTTCTTTTACAGGTTATGCGAGCTTTTGGTTTCTTTTAGATTTCGATAGACATGGTTTGGAGAATCATATCATCGTGTAAGTTCTCGGTGCTGTAGGCCATGTGGTTTCTTCGCATCCTCTCGAGAGCTAAGGCAAGGGGATCTGTTGTCTCCAGCATTATTCATCATTTCTACTGAGGTGTTATCAAAGGGTCTGAATGCATTGCAACTTAACAAGTCTTTCACCTCATATTTCGTGGCTCAACATTGTCCTCTTGTGACTCATTTAGCATATGCAAATTACATTATTATATTCAAGAAGGGCAGTCAACGAGTGTTTGGGTCAATTAGTTAATGTTTCAAAGAGTTGTTTTTTGGTTTCACCAAGGGCTCCCGCAACTCGAAAGAGCTTAATACATAAGTTGACGGGTTTTCCTTCTAGGCAGTTCTTGGTTAGATATTTGGGGTGCCCAATGTTTGTGGGCCGGAAGAGGAAAACATATTTCACACATATTATTGATGCAGTGGTGGCACGTATACAACAATGGAGTGCAAGGTGGTTGTCAATTGGAGCTCGTGTGATTTTGATTAAATCGGTCTTGTCAGCGATGCCGGTGTATTTGCTATCCGTGTAGCTCCTCCCAAAGGTGTGATCTACCAGATTCAGCAAATTTTTGCGAACTTCCTTTGGGGTGATTCACAGTTTGGTCGTCGATTTCATTGGGTAGCTTGGGCGAAGATGTGTTGTCCAACAGATGTGGGAGGGCTTGGTACCGCAAGAGATTTGTCAAATGTTGGGGGAGGTTTGTCTAGCTACAGGGGAGGATCCAAACACTCCTTTTTGGGCCTTGTTGATGTCGGGAGAATTTGAGATCTGCTTTATGATTCCAATATTAGATGGTTCTCCATAGGAATCTTGGATATACACATTTGTTTGGCAGTCGGGATTGCCGCTTAAGGTTTCATTTTTTACGTGGAGATTGTTAAAGCAAAAACTGCCTGTAGATGAACATCTCTTCAGGTTTCGGATTGCTGGTCCGTCTAAGTGTGTTTGTTGCTTGTCTTCGGAGAGCGAGTCAATCTATCAGCCGTTTGCCAAAAGTGAGACCTCAAATGTAGTGTGAGCATATTTCCAAGGCCCACTTGGTATTTTCCGTCCGAACATGGGAGTACGTGGTAGGTTGTTTTCCTGGGGTTGCTTAAGGCTACCAATTTGAGGATGAGGTGGCTATTGCGGGTAACTCCTTCGGTTCTTTTTTGGTTTATTTGGCATTTTCAAAATAAAGTTTCAATTTGATGGAGTGGTTATTGATTGGCGACAATTGGTCTTCTAGATAACCTCTGAGTTGCTAATAATGTTTCGAGCAAAGTTTAACGTATTTTTCCCGATGGGTACCCCTTGGTCGAAGGTTGTAAATTGCTTGCAGGAAGTTCCTTCTGTGTTTAAAGTTTCTCGGGTCTCCTGGAGTTCTCCTTCGGTAGGTTACGTTAAATTAAATACAAATGAATCATTGCAGGGTAATCCGGGATTGAGCGGTGGAGGCGGCATTCTTTGGGATTCCAACGGGGACGTGTTATTCGCCTTTTCTAAATTTTATGGTAATCTTTCTGCTCTGCAAGTAGAGGCTAGGGCATTGTGTACTGGTCTGGAGATTTGTGCTTTAATGGGTGAGTCTAGAGTTATGGTGGAGGTGGATTCTAAGGTTTTATGGTATATATTGGATTTTAAAGCATTGAGTCCTCCATCGATTCGTTTGATTATACGGAAGATCCGTTTATTTGATTCTCTAATGCATTCGGTTACCCATTGTTTCCGGGGAGGCAATATGGTGGCAGATTCTTTGGCATCGTTTACTATATCAACTGGTTCTTTTGTTTTGTTTCACTTGCAGCACAGCTTACCTAGATGATCTAAGGGTTTGGTGCGGTTAGACCAACTTGGCATTTGTAATTTTGAATTAGGATATGGTAAGGTTCGGTTCCCCCTCTGTGTGTAATTTTTTTTATTTTATTGTTTTTAATAAAATGGAAGAGGCTGCCTACTAGGCGTGAGTGGCGGTTTGTTTTAAAAAAAAACAATGGGGTAAAATGGATATTTATACAAACTTTAAAGGGATTATATAGATATTAAGATTTTATCACATGCATTTTTAAAACATATTTGATATAAATGCCGTAATTAATTGTGTATTTTATCTATTTTTCACTTTATATAAAATCACAGGACTTATGTGGCTATTTTAAAATCTTAGGAAGGTCATCTAACATTATGTAAAACTATAGGAAGGTAATAAGTAATTCATCCTATTTTTGTCAAGAGTGATATTTGATGTTAACCTTTTCCAAGAGTACCGTTAATCCGGGAACATCTTTCCACAATATTAAAGTTATTTCGGAAAGACCCCAAATTTAAGAGGTGCAACGAGTGTTAGTTTGGAAAGCCTCTCAATATAGGAGTTGAAAAGATTCTAAATATTGGAGGTACAATAGATTATCTCGAGCGTTTACTTTTTGCAAAAGTGAAGGAAACATGTTATGTATCTAAATGTAAAATGTCTATGGGAGATGCAATAAATGAGAATGTGTATATTCACATGGTATATTAAGTTTAGTAAGTGTATTAATAAATGTCTATAGGAGATGCAATAAATGAGAATGTGTATATTCACATCGTATATCAAGTTTAGTAAGTGTATTAATGTGTGCTTACTGGGCATTTTTAGAAAAATCAGTAAAAATATTGCTCATATGGTGCTTATTAAATGGTTGTCTGATTTTTGGTTTGTTTGATAACTCAATTCAATATTTAAATTTAATGGATTCAGACTTTAATATATTCAGACCATTTGATAAAAAAAAATTGAATATCTGAATTAATTAAGTGGCACTGAATTTCCTAGGCAAAACTTGCTCTCAAAATTAAGTGATAAGCTATTTACGTATCATTGAATATGATATGCACTCAAATATATTAGATTTAATACTTAAAAATTTAATAATTTAATAGATTCCGACTTTAAAATTTAGATTTCAAACTTCAGTTTTATCAAACGCACTCTAGGTCTCGTCTTACTTTGGGTTCATATGAAATCGCAATCATCACAATCCAATCGTTTTGTCAACTAATTGGAATCATGAATATTCTTTGATGGATATGAGTTCATCATGAATATTTTACTTATTTGTGAAACTTATGCAAAGCTAGATTAGTAAACTTAATTACCATAATAGTAAGTTTTGGAACATAAATGGCAGGTCTTATTAATTAAAAGGTAAATTTTATTATCTACTAAAATTTATTACTTTATTGTATAGACTTACCAATTTATTTGTGAAACCTACATAAAGCTAGATTAGCAAGTTCAAAACAGTTATAGTAAGTTTTGGAAAATAAATGGTAACTATGTGCTATGAAAAGGTAACTTAAATGAAAAATTAAAACTAACTACACCATTGCATAACTTCCTATTTTACTTGAGAAGCTTACATACAACTAGATTAGTAAGTTTAAACACAATAATAGTTTTGATAAATGGTAAGTTATACAAATAAAAAGGTAACTTTTTGAAATTTATTATTTTATTGCATAAACTTACCATTTTACTTGAAAAACTTGCATACAATTAGGTTATTAATTTTAATCAGCAAGTTTTGCTAGATAAATAGTAAGTTTAATTACTAATAAAAATTTAAAGGGATTTTCTAACACGGCACTCATTAACACACCTAGCATTCACCGAGCCCACCATATATACACACATACTAACAATTATTATTCTCTCTTGCATTTATATATTTTTTCTATTTAATCTTGCCTACCCGCCCTTATATTTATTTACTTTTCTAATTAATCTTATATTTTCAAAAATATAACACTTGAAATATATCTTAACAAGTGCCCTCTGGGCACCCGTTAGATAGTCCAAAATTTCAATTTTAAAATTTAATGCTTCATTGCACAAACTTACAATTTTACTCAAGAAACTTACATACGGCTAGATTAGTAAATTTAATCGCGATAATGGTAAATTTTGTTAGATAAATGTTAAGTTATACTAGTTAAAAAGTAACTTCTACAATTTACCACTTCATTGGACAAACTTACTATTTACTTCAAAAACTTACATACAACTAAAATGAGCAAAGCTTAGCCAAAAATATAGTGAGTTTCATTATGTTAAGATTTAGTACTAAAATGGTAAATTTCATAACTACTTCAAACTTACCATTTTATTAGGAGATCTTACCACTTTAGTTGGAAAAGTTACGTATATCTCTGGACGTACTTTTTAATTCACAACAAAATGTTGGCGTAAGGCACTTCACTGTCGCAAAAGAAATGCAAACCTTGTGTTGCCAGTCAACTATAATTATTTTATGGATTTTTCTAACAGGTGTCTATTGAACACTTGTTAACACACCTAAAATTTACATAACCTACCATGTATATATATGCACATATTAACAATTATTATCCTCCCTTACATTTATATATTTTTTCTATTTAATCATACCTAACCTCTCTTATATTTGTTTTACTTTTTCTAATTATTCTTACATTTTAAAATAGGGCAAAACACCTCAGCGACCATTAAACTATTAATCGAATCGCCTTTTGACCATCAAATAATTTTTCATTATAATTTGACTATTAAGTGTTAATTATATTCGATGAATTTTGCAGTTGGTGAAAATACATACATTTAGTACTATTTATCTAGAAAGAGGAAGGGTGCAGCTGTTGCCATCAAGATAATTAAAAGGAGATGTTTTGCTGGAACTTAATAGAGCAAGGGAATAGGGTCGAGTTAGTGGTGGACAAAAATACCCCTGAGTGTTCTAATTATTTGGTACACTAATAGTTAAAATCTACAAAATGGCCACAATTGTATTGATTAGTTAGTTAAGTGGCTAATTTATTACGAAAAAAATTATTTGATGGTCAAAAGTTGACCCGGACAATAGTTTAATGGCCACTGAGATTTTTTTACCCTTTAAAAAATATGAAACATGAAATATATCTTAATGGATGTCCATTAAACAGACCCTTAGTTTATTATTCAATCACCTGACGACTAGTTACCATAGCACTGTGCGTAGTTAAATTAGAAGAATGTAGATTGCCTCCAACAATTTTAGTCAAACAGAAAAAACATTGACGCCAATTCTTACGTCTCCTTGAATATCAGCATCTAATACCTGGCTTGTGATGACTTTCAATTTAAAATTAGTGCTTACTGGCCCACTTAACTGCCACAAAAGTGTATAAATATGATAATTCTTGCAGTCTTCCTACCAGAATATTTTTAACTTTAAAATTAGCAATGGAGAAAATTATCAGTTGAGGACAGTTTACCAGGTCGAATGTTCCTGGAATCTTGATGTTTAAAATGCAGATCTAAGAAGATTTTATGATGTTTAGGGCAATGCAAGCAACAGATTAGGCGTCTCTAGAATTTTAAATAATGTCACTGACGAAGACGAATGAGTAATCAAACAGAAAAGCTTTGAGGTCAATTAGCAACGAATTTTATCACGAATGTCAGCACCTAATAGATGGAGGCTTGATTATCTTCCATGTTATTGATCTTGCTTTTTGGTCCACTTAGAAGCCAAACCGTGACAAGTGTGGTTCCTGGAAGTGTTCTCAGAACACATTTAAATTAAACTCATTTGCCAAACAGGCTCGTATGGATAACGAGTGTTCGTTATACTAATTGCATCTTGAAATGTTGATGTATTTTGAAAAATTATTTAATTTTAAAATAATAAATTTTCATGTCAAATTATAAGAATTTTAAGTTATTCAAGAAATTTTCCAATAAAAATTAGGAAGTATAATATAATTTAGAATTAATCAAAATAGAAGGTGATTGTGACTTGCACAATAGTATTCTAATAACAACTCCTCGTATTTCTTGAAACTTGTGTTAATAGATGAAGTAAAACCAAATGTAGCTGAATTATTTAACAAAGATCATTACAAGAAATTCAACACAAAAAATGCAACACAAAGGCTCGGTAGGACAAAGCTTGTCAACCAATTATTCCAGGCCATGTCCATATCAGAAGACTGGTAAACTTCTTAGACGAATTGATGAAGGAACTCCTCGACAGTGGTGTACTTGACATCAGGATAAAGCTCTGAAGTCTCTACACCGAAAGATGGCTCAATTGGAAAGTTGGAAGTACCATTTACCAGAATTGCATGGTTAATTGATAGTATGGCGTCGAGTGGACTTGGAGCCTCTGCGAAGAAATGGTCCATCAGAAATTTGTGCACCAATAATTCATACAATAAGATTTGCTAAGAAGAATTAAGGAAATTGAAATCAAACTTCTTGTCACCTTGGATGTTCTTTAGGAGTTGTTCCTCAGAAATGTATTCCGTCTCCAGCGTTATACCAATCTTCTTCTCCCATATGGCCACTAACTCATTAAATGATGCACGATTCTTAGGAGGATTAATGTAGACAACTTTGTTCAATGTTCTTGGATCATCAACGGTTTTGATGGTGAAGGTACCAACGTCATGTTCTCCATTGAAAATAACTGCAATTGAAACATTTAAAAAAAAAATTAAAGCACCAACGTACAATATAGGGGATAAGTTGGGCAGAGGATAAGAACATTTTGATCAGGTGAAGTAGGTGAAAATGAATAACCGAGTGTTGTTGTTTGCCCTACCTTTGGCATTTCCATCTCCCAAGATGACAACTTTATCTCGTGGTGGATCAGTGGCACCTTGCTGTGCAAAGGTTGAAAGAAAATATCCAGCAAAAGCGTTAGATGCGATACAGGTGTAAGGAATCCTCGCTGCCTCAGTAGCTCTACGAATCTGAGACTTTGCTACAAATCCAAACTTGACAGGCCCAACTGCATCTTGGCGATCCACATCAACTCCAAACTCTGAAGGGTAGAATCTCTGATAATTTCACCATATCATGTATCAGAATTTGATACACGAGAAAGGGGCTTGTGCATGGGATTGGCGTGTGTGCATGGGGTTGCATGTGCGTGCATGGGGTTAGTACAGCTGGAGTTAGTTACAATTAGTTAGTCAGTGATCTATACGCATCTTATGACGTCAGTCAACGTCACAAGTTTGTAAGTTTGTTAGCCACCTCACGAGCACCACCTGACTCACGTATTAAAGAGGGAAAGTTGGAGGGCTATGGGGGATATTCCATTTTGTAAAATCACAATTTACATTCATCTGTAATTCCTTTCTTTCTGTCAATTCAATCAATAACAATTCTCTGGTTTTCGGATCACTTCTCCATCATTTCTGTGGTCCCTAGATCAGAGATTCCTGACCTCCACTGCTCTTTGCATCAGTGGTATCAGAGCTGGGTCACGCCAGCTCAATTCTTCGATGGCAGAGGGCACTAGGTCGCAGGATGTCCGGAAGATCGAGGAGCACGTCAGATCCATGCTGAAGGAGCAACAGGAGCAGTTCGAGAGGGAAATGACGGCTCTGCGGAATCTGGTGATCGAATTACACACACAGAAGGCTCAGGGGGAAGGAAATGGCTCTTCTCCTCGCAACTCAGATACTCAAACCAGCAGCAGGGGCGGATATCAGGTTCCTTCTCGCCTATCACGAATTGATTTCCCGAGATTCAATGGAGAAGATTTTAGAGGGTGGTTGTACAAGAGCGAGCAGTTTTTTGAGGTGGACGAGACTCCTAACTCGGTGAAGGTTAAAATAGCTGCGATGAATTTAGAAGGTAAGGCTCTGCAATGGCACCAAATTTTTATGAAAGCAAGACTTACACGTGAGTTTCCTACCTGGGAAGAGTATGTGAGAGAGCTGTCTTCACGGTTTGGGGATTCTCTGTATGATGATCCAATGGGGGAGCTGAAGAGCTTGAAGCAATCCGGATCGGTACAGGAGTACCACGATGTGTTCGAGGAACTTCTCAATAGGGTGGATCTGCCAGAGGATTACGCTACGAGCCAGAAATTCAGTTGACGGTGCGAATGTTTATGCCTAAGAATGTGCAGCATGCTCGAATCTTAGCCAAAATTGAAGAGGCAAAAATATCGGTGCAGTCAAAAGGAAAGGTAATATCCAAACCGTTCGTGAACTACTCCGACCGCTCTAATACGTTACCGTTCCATGTGAATGTCCCTAGTCATAAATGGAAAACAGACTCTAAGGCAGTACTGCCCCTACCGACGTTGCCAGCTCTTCCTAGCAATGAAAGACAGCAAGAGTGGAGTGCTAAAAGGCCATTCAGGAGGTTAAGTAGGGCAGAAATGGATGAAAAAAGGGCAAAGGGGTTATGTTTTTGGTGCGATGAGAGGTTTACAGCGGGGCATAGGTGTGGAAGTAAGCAATTCCATAGGTTGGAGGTTTGGGATGATACGCCGGAAAAGGAGGAAACGGATACTGAACGGGAGGAGAATGTCGTGGACGAGGGACAGTTAGCTCATATTTCCCTACATGCCATGACCAACATGGCTGTCCCCAATTTTAAGACCATGAGGGTCACGGGACATGTGGGAAGGCAGTCTGTGAATATTTTCATAGATTGTGGCAGCTCACATAATTTCATTCACCCTTCGGTAGTGCAAAAATTGGGGCTGATCACACGAGGGGTGGAGCCACTAACGGTAGAGGTCGCAGATGGGAATAAGCTGACTACCCACGACCTTTGCCCAGGTTTTTTCTGGAAAATGCAAGGTCAGGAATTCAAGGCTGATTTGTTGGTATTACCGGTAGGGGGGTGTGAAATAGTTCTAGGAATGCAATGGTTAACCACCATTGGTGAGGTGAAGTGGAACTTCCGTGACCTCAGGATGGAATTCATGCAAAATGGTCACAAAGTGGTTTTGAGAGGAATGAAACACTATGGGTTGCAGTTTGTGAGGCAAAAGAAAATGCAGAAACTATTGCGGAAACCTGAGCAAATTGCAGGGGCGCAACTATGCATGATCAGAATGATTCAGGAGCCGGAGCCAGAACCATTATCTCTTTTCACTATCACGGCTGGAACTAATGGAGGACAGGATGGTGACTCGCTGGACCTTGAATCTTTGCTGAGTGAGTATGATGATCTGTTCCAGGAACCTAATGGCTTGCCCCCTGCACGATTGCACGACCATAGGATTGTCCTAAAGGATGGCACTGAACCGGTCAATGTGAGGCCCTATAGGTACCCTGCCTTCCAGAAAGGTGAAATTGAAAAACTGGTAGCGGAAATGCTTGCAAGTGGGATTGTGAGGGTTAGCTCTAGCCCTTTCTCCTCTCCAGTAGTTTTGGTGAAAAAGAAAGACGGATCCTGGAGAATGTGTGTTGATTATCGGCAGCTGAACAGTGCCACTATAAAGAATAAATTTCCTATTCCGCTAATAGAAGAATTGCTGGATGAACTCTTTGGAGCCAAGCTCTTTACCAAATTAGACTTGCGGGCTGGATATCACCAGATTAGGATGAAGGCGGAAGATGTGGAGAAAACAGCTTTCAGAACACATGATGGCCATTATGAATTCTTAGTTATGCCCTTTGGGCTAACTAATGCCCCGTCCACATTTCAAGGTCTGATGAATGATATCTTCAGGCCCTTTCTAAGGAAATTTATTTTGGTTTTCTTTGATGACATTCTGGTATACAGTGGTGATTGGAAGGAGCACCTGCAGCAGCTGAGACTTGTGTTTGGACTATTGAGAAGGCATGAATTAAAGGTAAAACGGAGCAAGTGTGGGTTTGCTCAGCAGCAGATCGACTACTTAGGGCATATTATCAATGCAGAAGGTGTCCAGGCTGATCCTCAGAAAACTGCTGCCATGAGAAATTGGCCAATACCGCAGACAGTCAAGGAGCTGCGAGGATTTCTGGGTCTTACGGGTTACTATAGGAGGTTCATACGGGACTATGGTAAGATTACTAAACCACTGACAGACTTGTTAAAAAAGAATCAGTTTCAGTGGCATGATGGGGCTACTCAAGCTTTTAGAAGATTACAGGAAGTCATGAGCAGTCCCCCTGTTCTAGCTCTACCAGATTTTACTCGAGCATTCATTGTGGAGACCGATGCTTCAGGAAGTGGGATTGGGGCGGTGTTGATGCAAGAAGGGAGACCCCTAGCTTTTTTTAGTAAGGCACTGGGGACCAAACATCAAGCTCTGTCCGTATATGAAAAGGAAATGTTGGCCATAGTCACTGCGGTCTTGAAGTGGAGAGCTTATTTGGTGGGAAGGCATTTCGTTATCAAAACTGATCATCAAAGTTTGAAGTATATAATGGAGCAACGGGTACATACACCACTGCAGCAGAAGTGGATAGCCAAGTTGATGGGATATGACTATGAGGTGCAGTATAAGAAGGGAAGTGACAACATTGTAGCGGATGCGTTGTCCCGACAGCCACAGGATGGCAATTTGATGTACACTTTGGTTACTGTTACCACTCCTCTCACCCAGGATATACGACAAAGTTGGCAACAAGATGCGGTAGTACAGGAGTTGATCCAAAAGCTGAACAGCAATAGTCTGCATTCTAGCAATTATTCTTGGCAGCAAGGGGTGTTAAGGAGGAGAGGCAAGTTGGTGGTTGGCAATGATCAGTCTTTACGAAACAGGTTGATTGCTTTGTGGCACTCAAGTTCACAAGGGGGGCATTCGGGAATAGAAGTCACTTACAGGAGACTTAAGCAGGTCTTGTACTGGCCAGGTATGTTCAAGGATGTAGGCCATTTTGTAGCAGCCTGTGATGTTTGTCAGCGAAATAAGTCAGATAATGCAGCTTACCCTGGCCTCTTACAACCTTTACCTATACCAGAGAAGATTTGGACTAACATCTCTATGGATTTTATTGAAGGCTTACCCCTTTCCCATGGCAGGAAGGTGATCTTGGTGGTGGTGGATAGGCTCAGCAAATACGCTCACTTCATTGCTGTGACTCATCCCTATACGGCCATTTCAATTGCCCAGCTGTTCATGGACCAGGTTTACCGGCTACATGGTCTTCCTCAGACCATTATCAGTGATCGAGACCCCATTTTCTTGAGTTCCTTCTGGCAGGAAATTTTCAGATTGCAACATGTTCAGCTGAACATGTCCACCTCTTACCATCCTCAAAGTGACGGCCAGACAGAGGTAGTTAACAGATGCTTAGAGAACTATTTGCGGTGCATGACCGGTGATCATCCCAAAGATTGGAGTTTATGGCTGCCAATGGCTGAGTATTGGTATAATACAAATTTTCATTCCTCTGCCAAGTTCACCCCTTATGAGATTGTCTATGGCCAGCCTCCTCCACTGCACAGCCCTTACTTACCTGAAGCCACGGTAGTTGAATCTGTAGACAGGAGCCTACATGCAAGGGAGAAGGTCATCCACTCCCTGCGGCATAATCTGTCCAAGGCTCAACATAGGATGAAGCAGTTGGCGGATAGACACAGGTCGGAGAGGGTGTTTGATGTGGGTGATTGGGTTTATGTCAAGCTTCAACCTTACAGGCAGCACACTCTGCGCTCTCATCACTGCCAGAAGTTATCTCCTCGTTATTTTGGTCCATTTCAAGTGACGGCAAAGGTAGGTGCGATGGCATACAAATTAGCCTTGCCATCTCACGTTCGCATACATGACACTTTCCATGTCTCCTTGCTCAAGAGGAAGGTCGGCACAGGGTCTATTTCAGCTCAGATTCCCGCTGGAATTACACACCAAGGGCAGTTACTGCTGGAGCCCATTGCAGTTCTGGACCGCCGTTTGGTCAAGCGTGGAAGAGTGGCGGCGACGCAGGTGCTGGTTCACTGGAGTAACAGTTTTCCCGAGGATGCCACCTGGGAGTACTTGCAAGACTTGCGGCTACAGTTCCCTCATTTCAATCCTTGAGGACAAGGAGTGTTTGAGGGGAGGGTATTGATACACGAGAAAGGGCTTGTGCATGGGATTGGCATGTGTGCATGGGGTTGCATGTGCGTGCATGGGGTTAGTACAGCTGGAGTTAGTTACAATTAGTTAGTCAGTGATCTATACGCATCTTATGACGTCAGTCAACGTCATAAGTTTGTAAGTTTGTTAGCCGCCTCACGAGCACCACCTGACTCACGTATTAAATAGGGAAAGCTGGAGGGCTATGGGGGATATTCCATTTTGTAAAATCACAATTTACATTCATCTGTAATTCCTTTCTTTCTGTCAATTCAATCAATAACAATTCTCTGGTTTTCGGATCACTTCTCCATCATTTCTGTGGTCCCTAGATCAGAGATTCCTGACCTCCACTGCTCTTTGCATCAGAATTTGGGAATGATAGTGTAACGCCCCCACTTCTCCCTAAGGCGAACCAAAGGGTATCCGCGGGACGCCTGCCTAGCTCTCGC